GAGGAGGAAGGAGGGATGACACTGGTCTTCACCCATTGCATTCACACCATGTACGCGTGGGGAAAAAGACAAAGAGAGAGGGATCTATATATATATATATATATATATATAGAAAGGGAGGGACAGGGAAAAAGAGAGAGCAAAATAAAGAAATACCGGTATACATATATATATATATATATATATATATATATATGTGTGTGTGTAGAGAGAGAGAGGGAGAAGAAAAAAAAGAAGGAACAAAAAGCAAGCAACACGAAACCAGAAGGAAAGAGCAAAGGATACTGCCGCCACTGGGACGGTCCAAAACGCCCAGGAAGCCCCCAGAGGCCCCCAAGAGTCCCCCGAGGCCCGAAGAGGCCCCCAGGAGGCCCCAAGAGGCCCCCAGGAGGCCCCAAAACACATGCCCCAAAAGAGGCTCCCAAGACCCCCAACAGGCCCCCAGGAAGCGCCAAGAGGCTCCCCAAAAGCCCCGAAGAGGCTCCCCAGAGGCTTCTAAACTGCTCCCCAGAGGCTCCCGAGAGCCTTCCGAAGAGACCCCAAGAAGCGTCCATGAGGACTCCAACCCACATCCCAGGTACGTCTCGAAAATCTGCCAGCGCTCTCTTGAGCCATCTTGGCGCCCTCTGGGGCAGTCTATCGGCTCGATTCGATGGGGTGCGAACCACATTTCCAAAGATCTCCTCGAGGACAGACCTGCCTGCCATACCGCTCACAATGGGTACGAGCACACCACCATGCAGCAGAGGTGGTGCGAAATGAGCCGGCGGAATGAACGAAGCGATTCAATAACTCCTCCCTGTCGCACCCCGAGGCATGTCCTAATGACGGGCTGGGCGTTTCGCCTGAGACTTCCTCACCACGTGTGATCTCCAAGCTGAAACCAGTTTCACGGATGGAGGGCGGGTGGTTTTCAACATGTGGCTCTCGCCTTAGCGCTGAGCGCGTTCGTCTGAAAATTTGCATACGCTTCACGATTGGAGGGCGGGCCGTATTCAAAACGTGGCTCTCGCCTGAGCACCGCGCACACTCGTCTGGAAAGTTGGCAAACGTTTCACGGGTGGAGGGCGGGCCGTCTTCAAAATGTGGCTCTCCCTTAGCGCTGCGCGCAGTCCTTTTTCACGGATAGAGGGCGAGCGGATTTCAAAATATGGCTCTCGCCTTAGCGCCGCGCGCACTCGTCCTAACACTTTGCAAGAGCTTCTCGGATTTAGAGCGGTATCTGTTCAACGTGAGGCTCTCGCTTGAGCGCTGCGCACAGTCGCCTTAATAGTCTACAACCGCTGAAAGAACAGTTTATTCTGCCTGACGTCCCAGACATAGGATCGTCTGGGCGCCTGGGCGCAACAGTCACGTTGTTCCGCGGCGGCAAAGTCCCAGGAGTGGTGTTCTGGGAAGGCTCTGGATTTCAAACAGTTGTCTTCTAACGAGGTACTTCCATCAGTGAAAATGAACCCTCACAGGGAACTGTGCACAAGGAACTTGGAGGGAAGGCTTCTCGCAACAGCGTTGGTGAGCCTTGAGTTTACACTGGTCATCCCATCCTCCTCCTCCTCCTCCTTCTCCTTCTCCTGCTCCTTCTCTTCCTCCTCCTCGTCCTCGCTCCTCGCTCCTCGCTTCTCGCTTCTCTCTTCTCTCTGGTGGCCTCCTTTCCGCACCCGCCTGCGCCTGCGCCGCGGGGCGCTCTCAAAGGGTGCTGGGAGGAGGCCGTACCTGCAAAAGATCTTCCACCCTCCGCCCGCTGCCAAACATTCACTGTGGGCCTATACACCGTAACAGAAAAGAAGAAAATAAAAAAATAAAGCAAAGCACAACCCAGGACGCTGAAAGAAAACGGAAACTCCCAAAAAAGGAAAATACGGTAATACTAAGAAGGAAAACCCGTAATAAAAAAAAACAAAAAGCATAAACAGAAATAAAAAGAATGAAAAAAAAAATAACTAGTGAAAATATCGCAAAGTCCCAAGTAAAATGCAACGCCTGTCCCGCGAACCGTGCAAAAGGCGTGCTCTGGCCCTGGTCCGAAAATGCCACAAACCATCCAACTTGGAGGCCGTCTTGCGCTGCCCACTGGCTGACCACAACGTGCGCCGAAACGAGGAGGTGTGCGCGCATGCCGTAAAGGCATGGGTGACATCGACCTCTGGGCTGTGGCATGCATCACAGTGGGCCAGAAGAGCAACCCCTCCTCCTTCTCCTCCTTCTCCTCCTCTTCCCCTCCTCCCGAATATAATCCTCTTCGCCGTCTGTATCTTCGTCTTAGCCTTCGACTTCGCCTTCGTCTTCGTCGTCGTCGCCGCCGGCTTCGGCTTCGTCTTCGTCTTCGTTTTCGTGTTCGCGTTCGTCGTCGTCGTCATTTTCATCGCCGCCGCCGCCGTCGTCATCCTCGTCGTCCTCGTCGTCGTCGCCTTTGCCGTCGTCGTCGTCTTCGTCGTCGTCGTCGTCTGTGCCGTCGTCGCTGCCGCCGCTGCCAGACCGCCGCCGCCGCCCCTGGGAAGGCAGTGATTCCTGGCTCCTCGCACGAGCTGGCAGCCTCCTGCGCCGTGCTTCGCCGCGCGGCGAGCCGGGACCCGGCGGAGCCCCCGGTGCGGCGAGCTCTGCCGGGCTCCCGCTCTGACCCAACCCGCCCACCGTCGGGGAGCAGGGAGGGGGGGGAGGAGGGAGGGGGAGGATGAGGATGGGGATGAGAATGAGGATGATGATGATGAGGATAATGATGATGATGATGATGAGGAGGAGGAGGAGGAGGAGTAGGAGGAGGAGGAAGAGGAGGGGGAGACGAAGGATGATGAGGAGCAGGAGCAGGAGCTGGAGGAAGAGGATGACGATGATGATGAGGAGGAGGAGGAGGAGGGGGAGGAGGAGGAGCAGGAGCAGGATCAGGAGAAAAGGATGATGATGTTAATGATGATGATGATGATGATGATGCTGATGATGGTGATGATGATAGTGGTGATGATGATGATGCTGATGGTGATGATGAGGAGGAGGAGGGGGAAGAGGAGGATGAGGAGCAGGAGGAGGAGGATTGATTAGAGGAGGTGGAGGAGGTGGAGGATACGGCCACGCGAACATGTCTTGCTGCAGCAGGTCCCCACTAGCCCGGCCAATTTGCAATCCTGTATCTCTACAGGCTATGACGAGCCAGCTCGCAGGGCCGGCCTGCGACCTCATTTGTGGCCTAACAGCGCGCAGCAGAGCCAACCATCATACAGTCGGGGCGTTGACCAAGGAACCCTAAATAAGGAGCGAGGCCCCTTTTTCCGCAAGTTAAACTTCGATGTCCGATCGAAAGCCTAAGGAAAGCCTGAGGCAAGCTGCGAAACAATCAAGGAACACGGAGCCCCTCCCCAACGAAAAAGGTTCCTTCTTCAGGGCCCCGACTGTACCTCCTTTGTTGCCCAACAGCGCGCAGCAGAGCCAACCATCATACTTTGCATGACAGCACGCAGCACAGCCTATCAACCTTGCTAAAAAACTGCAGCTCTTCACCTCGCCATCGTTCGGACGTCCATTCCCTAAGTTTATTGTTCGGTGTCGTGCGTGGCTTTTCCGCCAAATGATCAACGATGCTCCTCGATGGCCCTCGCCGAGAAAAAATGCACATGTCCGAGCGATGCCAAGTTACGGCAGCCTCCTCCAATAGCCTACCATCCGCAAGACCGCATCTACTGGCACGACAGGCCAGCCCTCGGGGCCAGCCTACACCTCACAGCTTGCCTCTGACAGCGTGCAGCTCAGCCAGCCTCGCTCTTACCTTGGAAAGGGGATGGGCTGGTTATGGCTTTCGTATTCTAGCGGGGGGTCTTGGCGGGAAGGAAGTACCAGGGTTGGGGTCAACCTTAAACCCTGGACAGCAATTTTAGAACTGCATTATTTCAGTTTCGCACCTTAACTTTCCGAGGCGACACTCACCATTAATCAAGAGGTTCTCTACTATTAAGGTCTCTGTTGCTGGCAGGAGGGGGTGTTCATCCACTGAGATGTGTGCCGTCCCCTACCTGGCGGTCGCCTATCATATTTTCTTTACTTTTCCTGCGCTTTTGTTCCTTCATTTTCCGCGACGCCCGCCAGGTAACTGTGACCCGAGTCGGTTCTATTGTTTTAGCACTTACAAGAACGCGACAGGCTAGTTCATCACGCTGGTCTAACGCAAGAAGGAGGAAGGAGAAGGAGGAGGAGGAGGAGCAGGAGGAGAGAGGAGCGAGAAGGAGGAGGAGGAGGAGGAGCAGGAGGAGGAGGAGCAGGAGGAGGAGGAGGAGGAGCGAGGAGGAGGAGGAGGAGGAGGAGGAGGAGGAGGAGGAGGAGGAGGAGGAGAAGGAGGAGGAGGAGGAGGAGGGAGAGGAGACAGAGAGCCCCTCTCTCGACTGCGACCGCCCCTGCGTGGCCGCGGGGGCCGGCCCTGCCCGTGTCCGGCGTGGGCCCTCTGGCTTTTGGAGGGCTCCCCCGGCGGGCCCCGCGGGGGGCGGGCGGCCGCGGGCGGGCGCCGCCGGCGAGCTCCCGCGGAGGTGGTCTGGGCCCGCGCCTCCGCAGACGACGCGTGGGTCCACTCTGGGGCTGCTTTTCTACAGGGCAGTTGCTACTACATCGGATTTTTTTAACATTGGGTTTTCATACATGATTAATTTACGAAAAAAATGTATGTATGAACTCATCGTTGTTTTCAGTGCTAGATCTCTGCATTTTGAATACATGATCCGCACGCGGAGCATGTATTCAAAACGGCACTGTAAGATCAGGCGCGTCCTCTTACAGGCGGGTTTTGGAAGAGCAGTGAGCAATAACCAGAGCATATACAAACAGGACCAGACACAGTCGAAACATCGCCCCGTGCTTATTCTCTACTCTTCTGGAACATATGCAAGCGTATCCAGACATGTCGAGAATTCGCCCCGCAGCTGTTTTCTATTATTCTTGAATGTTTCTCCTGGAGAGGGCCGTGCCCGGCTTGCGGTTGCTTCTCCTTGCTCGCTGCGTGGTCCCTCCGTCGTGTGGGGGCCTCAGGTGAGCCCCCCCTCCCGTCTCGGATCAGACTCGTGGCAAGGGCTCCCAACTTCGCGCTTCGCGCTGCGCGAAGCGCGAAGTGCGAATAACTGCGCGCTCTCGCGCCGCCTCCCATGGGAGAAGGAACAAAAATGAGAAAAATCCGAGCCGAACCTCGAAGCGCGAAGCGCGAATAGCTTCGCGCCCTCGAGGGCGCCCTTGTGTGGGTCCCTCGGCGTCGCCGCACGCACGCATGCCCCGCAAGGGCTCAACCAACCAACGACTCTTGCCGCCCCCCCCCCTCCAGCTCCTCGCGCCTCCCTCACCCCCCACGCTCGGCTGCCGCGCCACCGTTCGCCACCACCGCCACCCCTTCCCTGCTCCCTCCCCTCTCCTCCCTCCTCCCCCATCCTCCCCCCCCCCTCGACCTCACACCTCCTCCCCTTCCTCCCCGTTTCCCCCCTCCCCTCCCTCCCTCCCTCCCCTCCCCTCCCTCCCTCCCTCCCTCCTCCGGCGCTCCGTCGTAAGCGGCGGTCCTGGACCGTCTTGAAGATCGAGAAGCCCTGGTTGGTGAGGTAGCCGATCTCCGCGTTAGGGTGGAGGCTGAAGAGCTCCGGCGCCTCCTGCGGGAACTTGTCCTCAATCACCTTGGCGTACCTCCAGGGGAGCGGAGCTCGAGGCCCCAGGCTTTTGGGCGTCTCTGCCCCCTTCACAGGCGTCCTGAGGCCTCCTGGGGCCTCCTGGGCCCCCCTGGGGGGGCCTGCGGGGACCTTTGCGTATGTACCTCTCGCGGGCCACTCGGCCTCCGCGCGCGTTGCCCAGGGCCCTCTCGGCCCTGCGGCTCGACGTGGCCACCCGGCGCGTCGCGGGGCGTTCTGTGGGTTCCCGGGCCCTCCTACCCCCTCTAGGCGTGCAAGCACGTGTGATCTCGTGGATGGATGGCTGATCGAGTGGGCAGGGCTGATCAAGTGCGCGCCTAGGTGCAGCAACAAGCGGGCAGGCCCCACTAAGCCCCCCAGAGCCACCCAGACTGCCCCGAAAGGCCAGAGCCAGCCCAAAGAGCCCCCATATACATCTAGCGTCCTTCGACGCTAGGCAATCGAACGTCCGTCCGAAATCAGGGACGCGGAAAGGCATCCCTGGCAGAATCGTCAACAACCGACGCCACGGAATTGACCGAACGCCCGCCGTTCCGCGGTGCGAGTGCATGCGCGTGCGCAACCACGACGGTGTCCACACGTCCACACATGCGTTCCTACACAAGGCGCGCGTTGGGACGCTCAACACAAAAGTATCAAATGATAGTCATCTTTGAAAGGGGGCCCATACCCGACAACGAGCGGAGCGTGCTGTGGAAATCTTACGCGTGTGTGTGTGTGTGCTAGCATAAACATAATCAGATGTAATGTCTGTCCTTCCGTGCCAGCCAAGAGTCGCGCTGCCGCATCCTCCTCACTGATTCACATCCTGCCCATGCCCCGCCTACTCCACTTCCTCCTCCACCTCATCCTCCCCTTTACTCTCCGCCTCCTCCTCTTGATACTCGCTCCACTCCGCCTCGCGGTCGTCGTCGTCGTCCCCCTCCTCCTCCTCCTCCTCCTCCTTCCTCCTCCCTCCTCGCTCCTCCTACCCTCCTCCACCCCCACACCTTTCTATTCTTTCTCCGCCTTTTTCTCCTCCTCCTCCTCCTCCTCCTCCTCCTCCTCCTCCTTCCTCCTCCTCCTCCTCCTCCTCTTCCTCTCCACAACTCCGCCTCGAACTCCCTTGCCCCCCCCCCCCCCCCGCCTTCTCCTCCTGATTACGTGCCTGGATGCGCTTCCTCCTGCCTCCCAGTATTCCTCCACTTCCTCCTCCTCCCTCCCCTCGCCTTCACGCGGTGTGCCACCCGGATGCGCGTCTTGCCCAATCGCTGCGGGCGATGCTCCAGCAGCGCCCGGCGTGCGCACACCTGGAAGCCGGCGCACCCAGGTCACGCTGACGGGGAGGAGGAGAGGAAGAGGAGGATGAGGAGGATGAGGAGGAAGGGGGAAGAGGAGGCGGAGGAAGGGAGGAGGAGGAGGAGGAAGAGGAGGAGGAGGAGGAGGGAGAGGAGGAGGAGGCGGAGTGAGGAGGAGGAGGAGGGAGGAGGAGATGAGGAGGAGGAGGAGAGGAGAGGAGGAGGAGGAAGGAGGAAGAAGGCCACTCTTGGACTGCGATCGGTGCGGAGGGCACGTGCTGTACTCCGACTTCGCCGGGTCCGGCGAGCGGAAGCCCTGGGAGCACATGCGTTTGGCTCGGCGCACGGGGGGGGCGAGGCGGCGGCGGCGAGGGGGCAGCTCGAGCGGGGGGCGCGCGGAGGCGTCGCCAGACGAGGGACACCGCCCTCGCAGGTCAGCGCTGCCTCGGAGGCTGGGGACTGCGAGTGCGGTGGCCCTCTCCAGGAGCCCGTGCGGCCAGCAGGGCGCCGTCTCCACGACGAAGCCGGGGGGCGAGGATCACATCGGGCGAGGATGAGAAACGAGAAGCAGATCGGGCGGCTCTGGAGGACGTCTCGGGCGCCGCGCCGAGAGCGCGCCGCCGCGCTCTGAAAGCATGCGGGGACGCTCTAGAACGGATTGGTCCTCATCCTGGCCCCGTCCGGAGGGAGGGGCTCCGGGATGCGAGGCTCCGACCATGGGACCGCGAAAACCGACGCAGGATGAAAAAGCGGCCGTTAAGAGCGGCGACGACGACGACGCCGCCGTCGCCGTCGCCGCCATCGTCGTCGTCGTCGTCGTCGCCGTCGTCGTCGTCGCCGTCATGGCCCCGTCCGAACCTCCCCTCACGATCCAGCTCACCAGCGGCCGCTGCCGTCCGGGAACGGGGCCTCCATCTCACAGGAGGCGTCCGAGGAGCACGTCGGGGAAGAGGAGGGAAGGGGGCAGAGGGAAGCAGCCGAGGCGAAGGATAGGCATACAGTAGGGGCTCGACCACAACAAACCTTCCACAAGAAACCCAACCCTGAGACCCCAGGACGTCCATCGGTCTTTGGCTTGGGAACGTCGCGCGCTTCATCGCAAAAACTACTAAAACCCAAGAAACCCAGGGCACCCTGGAGGCAAGCAAGGTGCTTCTTGGTATGGGCCTCCACTGTAAAGAAACGGAGACACGCGAAACTCAAACGTTCCGTGAGCGGAAGTGGCAAGCATGGAACGGCTGGCTTGGGCTGCAACGGACCCCAAGGCGAACATGTTGGGACGCACCATGTCATACAAATACTAGATGTCCTCCTTGGAGGCGTGCGCCCGACTCGAACATCTAGATAATATATCCATCTTGTAGTGTATAGTTTCCCGAGCGGCATGGCCAGAAGGCGCCCGCCACGGAGCTTATACTAAAAGATGTCTCGGCGCGCGCGTCGCCTCTGCGGGGGCGACGCACACAGAGTATCAGTATGTTAGGGTGGCGGCGATATTGAGGCTAGGGCTGGGACGACGTGATGAGCACAGGAAGAACTTGCCAGCCCGAAGATACCTGGACGACCAGGATCCAACCACTCTGTGCAGCTTCCCTGTGTAGAAGGGCAGACGGATAACTACTTGGGGGTATCCGGGGTGTCCGGGGGTGCTTTACGGGGTTCAGGGTGGTCCCAAGCGGCGAGGATGAGTAAGATGTGCACGCTCGGGCCAGGAGCAGGAGGAAAAGACAACAGGGGGGGTGGTGACCGCTCGAGCTGGGCAGTCGCGTCATATACTTGGGCAGCGTGGGAGAGTAGCACAGCGACATACAACTCAGATCCACATGCGGCGGACCTGCCCAAATGAAAATCATGACGTCGGTTCCCAGCCAAGTAAGCAATGAGAAACACCTACGGCGATAAGTCCACACGGGTAGGACCAAGGGCTCCGGAACCCCACGCATTGAATAAACCAGAACGTCGGCAATCTCCAAGCCTGGACCCAATAACCCCGGCGATCGCAGACGTCACGCCTTGGACGGGTCCCTGGGCGAGGCCATCAGCCCTCCAAAGCCTACCCTCGCCCCTACCCCCTAAAAAACGACATCGGGAACCACCCAGGAGGAGAGGAGGAGGAGGAGGAGGAGGAGGAGGAGGAGGAGGAGGAGGAGGAGGAGGAGGAGGAGGAGGAGGGAGGAGGGGGCGGAGAGGAGAGGAGAGGCGGACGGAGGAGGCATGAGGAGGATGAGGTGAAGAAGCAGGAGGAGGAGGAGGAGAGAGAGAGAGAGAGAGAGAGGGACAAGGAACAGTCCGCCACAGTGGTCCCTGGCACGTTCAGGCGTAGGGGTTCGTGGGGGTTCCTTAGGTATTCTAAGGCCCGCTCCGCCTCTCCTCACGCTCACCCGCATGCATCCCCACCCTCTCCCGAGGGTCCCTGGACGGCCCAACGCCGCCCTGGGGCATCCTTGAACTTCCTCTAGAGCTTCCAGGATTGAAGGACACAACGGCCGCCAAAATGGCACAATAAGAAGCACTGCGTGGTTGCCAAGATGCCTTCGGCTGGCCAAGACACCCTCAAGATGCTCTCAAGGCCCTCGCGAGGCCAAGAGAGAATGGTTTCCCGATGGTTGCTTCATGTGTGTTGCTCTCCAAGCTCGTTGTTCGAAGGTCGGCCCACTTGCCGTCGTTGAGGGCTCAAAGGGCCCCTCGTCGGCCAAGGAAGGTTCCAAGAGAGCCCCAAGCTGGCCCAAGCAGGCATCCAGAGCAGCACAAGGCCCCTAAGACGCCCCAAGCAGCCACCCCAGGTGGTTCGACAACGGCCCGAAGGGACCCCTCAGACGGCCAAGAGAGCCCCAAGATGGCAGTAGCCAGGCAAGCCCAAGAGGACCCCAAGACGGCCCAGAACGAGCACAGAGCCCCCCACGACTGCCTCACAGGAGCCCACGACAGCCCCACGATGGCCCACGTAGTCTCCACGGGAGCTCTTCGACAAATGGTGACCGCGTGTGTCACATGTGACGGCCATCTTGGCGGTGTTCGAAGAATGGCCACAATAAGTGCTTCGCCTCGCCATAGCTCGGACGCCCATTCCCTGTGTTTTTT